ACAGTCCCAGTAGTCCATGCATTTTTCACCAGTTACTAGCTAGTCCCTTATAAATATCTGAGAGCCAGATGGATTTCCTGACTCATCATCACACTGAGAACAGAGCTCACCTTCTCAAAAGGGAAAAATAATAGAATTGTGTGCAAATTTCCCTTCACATCTTTATATTCCTGTAATGCCCTTCCCTCAGGGCTCATTGCTCTAAAGACAATCATCCACTAATACGAACACTACCACTGCTCCTCCACGTACCCAGAACATTAACTACACCCAGGCTGTCCTCCCTGCTATGGGGAACATAGGGACTTTTAGTAAGGAAACTACAGCTCAGAAAATGCCTCCCTTCAATCCCCTGCTGCTCCTTTGCTTGCTAAACCTCCTGTGTCCCCCCAGCCCTCACTCCAACCACCACCTACATCTTTCTCTCCCTCTCAACCCCCGACAGCAGCAAGCTCTAAACTCTAACCTCTCCTGCCCTTGCCTGTTGAGCCACTGGACCAGCAAGTTTGCCCACAGCTTATGTCTAATCTCTTGGCAGCAGCCGGAGATTGGAGTTTATGAACAGTAATAAAAATGTCATTTTAGCAGATCAGCTCCTGGAAGGACCCAGGGAATCCATCAAAGCTCTGTTTACTGAGTAAAGCGAACTCCTTTTCCCAATCGATGAGAGGAAAAGATTGAGTTTTTTGCACCTTCTTCCCAATTTCACAACGCCACTCTTTTAGAGGCATCTGAGCATCAAGAGGCCTGTGTTTCCCCAAAAAGAGAATGCTAAATTCCACCCGTCTTGGTGCCTCGCCTGAAGTCCATCCTTCTGAGGGCTTATAAACCAGCTCAAATGCCCTCAAAAATCCTATTCTGCTGCTTTTTTCCATGAAGTTATGGGTCAAATTCACATGATATGAGAAGGTGTAACTGTTCAAAAGGAACAACACAAACTTGCTCCCACTCTGAATTTGGTCCTGTTGGAGCTCATATAACTGTCTTTCTTGAGGCACTTGAAAGGGTTGATACTAAAGATCCTGTTGTTATGAAGGCTGAGCTCACCTCCCATGGTTCTTCAGATAGGAAAGGCTGCTGGTACTAACTCCCCAGATCAGAGTTAGAGAATCAAAGTGTCAAAGACCCCCCTCTTCCCAAAGTCCAGACAGACAACTGCCAGATACAGTCCTGAGTTAGAGCATGCAAAACCAAGGAGAGCTGCAAGTAACTAATCCAAAGCTGAACTAACAGCCTTGCCATACCAGCAGGTCACAACCTCAGCTCATGCAACCATCTTACCCCCAAGGAGCTCAGAGCTGCTAACGTTCCTTATAGCACCCACAAGATTTAAACGAAGACCTTTGCAGGTAAGTCTTTTTTTAAATCTTCACTGTCAGGTCTTTAGACCTCTCAGTGTTGCCAGAGTCATGTTTTCCAGATTTTATGTGCAATTATACTGGCCAGATATTAAAAGCTTTTTTTTTTTTTTTTTTTAAAGTTGAAATCCTTTTATAATTTTGTGACCAAAGAGATAGAGCTTTATGAAAACAACCCAAAAAGACTGGCAACAGTACTGGTCAGGCCATAATTCACGTAAAGGCTACCTCATCTTAACACCACAGGAGAAAACTGCCTGAGCTGTCACAGTTTTTTGCCACACCAACACGAGTCTAAGGCAACGTATACTGGCCTGGAGGGGGGATTCAGACTTGCACTCATGTAAGACAGTAGATTTAGAATGGTCCTTTGCACCTGTGCAACTTTTCTATAGGAAATGTAAAGTCAAAGCGGGGGGGGGAAGCACGCTACATGTGGAGGTTAGGTAGGTTGGTTTGCTGGTTTTTTTTTTTTGTTTGTTTGTTTTTGTTTTTTAAACAGGGGACAAGAGGGTAATGAGATATGAAAGTGAGACAGGTGACATAACCTGTTCACCATGCTCTCAGCTGGCAGCCAGGTCCCAGCGCCAGCCCCCGAGCGCGGCCTCAGCCGCACGGCTGGATGAACCGGTGGAGGCACTTTGCCAGTGTACAGAGCACGTGGGCGCAGGAAGGAAGAATGCACCAAGACCACCATGGATTCAAACAACGTGCCACAGCAGCAGGCTCCTGTAACTCCGCTGTCCCTCTCCACACAGGGGTGCTGAGGACAGAAAGGATGATGCAAAATGTTCAACTGTTGGCTGTTGGGGAAATACAGAACAGAAAAACAGGGTTTGCTTCTTTATCCTTTCTGTAACCCCAGTGGCATGAAGGATCGGAGTCTCCTGAGCAATACCTGTCCCCACAGCTCCAAAACTGAGTACCTGTCACCAGGTGACCCTTTGGATGAGAGTCCTCCATTTCCCAAAAGGGGCTCCACGCTTCATGAGATTCGTCCTTCAGGTGCGGGGCCCAGCCGTACCCCTCCTCCCACCCACCTCACTGCTGATCAGTCAATCAAGTTTGAAGGGCAGCACCTTCACTGAACCATTTGATTTGAGTTTGGAAAACACAGGACTGAGAGGCAGAAGGGGTGAGTGGGCAGGGAGCCACTCGCTTTTTGAAAGCGGGCTGCAGTCAAAACACTGCTTATTAACATTGACTAGGTCAGAAAATGGGGAAAAAGAGAAAAAGAGAAACAAATGCATCCCTGGCACAGTTTCCAATTGATTGTCTGCCATGAAAGCAAAAGCCAGCTGCCGTGTTAATTATTCATGATGCCTGGCGCAGAGGGGAGGAAGAGGGGGCTTATGGAAGCCACTCAGCAGTGGAAAATTTGCATATGTAGATAGCAGAGTAGGAAAAAGAGGTGGAGTGCTCCTGTACAAGATAAATGGGATGCACAACATTTCAGCATTTCCTGATATATTTTCTGTATTTCTTGTCTATGGCTAAAAAAGTTGTTAGTGCTGAGGTCAGCAACAAGTGTGTGCGTGCACGTCACATACGCCGTAGAGAGAGAAACCACAGAGGTTTCCTAAGCGTGACCAGAGCCATTCAGTTGTTCTCTCTGTCACAGTCATTTCAGGTTAGAAGTTCACATGGGGTATAAGGAATCCCAGGGGAGCAACGAGAAGCTAATCCATGCTGAATCAAGGTTTTGATCATATTAGTCGCGTGCTTTGAGATTGTGGACTTAAAAGTGCAGCTATAAAAGTAATTACACCAGTCAAGTAGCACAACACACCTGAAAATGGGTGCAAGCAAGCCACCTGGGTAGCAAGCCTTTAACACTTTCACTGTGGGAGAAAGGTATTTTGAAACCCTGAGGAAAAAAAATATCAGCATTGCATCTGTCAGGGGTGTGTGTGAGAATCCATACAGTGACGGGGAGTAGAGCAAAGAGCACCAGTAGGAATTCAAATACCTTGCCCACCAATAGAGCCATGCATCACTAAAAGCACGCAGGACAATTTGGGGTAAGCAGGTAGTTATAGTATGAGCTCTCGTCATTCTGCTATGTCATCACCTAACAAAGTTAATACAACATTCAGGAAAAAAACAGCACTTTGATGTCTTGAACAATCACTTCTCATGATTCCCAACAATTTTAATGCTGAACTTAACTTCTGTCTTGAGAACAGCCTTCCCTTATCCGGTTTCTATGATGACATTATACAGCTCAAAGGCCAATTTTCCTGTTTGGTTTTGGACCCCTTAGTATGTGATTTATGTAGTTTAGTACATATGCTACACTTGTACCACACTTGTACGTACACCCATATAGCAGGTATACATAATGGTAAACAGAAACGATGTTGACCATTCAAATCAATCTCATCGGAACCCCTCTCATCCAAACCTAACTGGAAACGCTGCAGAACTGAAGTCAACAGGAATTCTATGCAAGCTTAGTCAGTAGGATTTGACTCAGATCAAAGTGACAAATGAGGTGGGAGACACCTGGGAAGAGGCGACTCAAAAACAGGGGAAAGGCTCTAGTCCTATAAATTGTGAACAAGCGCGGTTTAGTCTCTTGCATAAAGTTTGCATTTTGTGGACTTGCCTCAATATTTAATAACCAAATTCCAAGTAACTGCCAAGGACCTTTGGGGCCTGACTTCCTGCATTCCCTTTATAACAGGGATGCAATTTTTAGGTGCACCGAGATCAGCCTTACTGGGCACCAGAATAGTACACAGAAGAGGGGCGCCTACATTGCCCCACCTTTTTGGCTCCTCTCAGGAGACTGCTTAGTGTTTATTTTCCTACTACATTCATGGCAAGGTTTTCATCTTTCCCCAAAATCCCGCTTCCTCTGGATTTTCCAAACTGAGAAGCAGAAGGGAAGTTTCTCGTACTGCTCAGTGACAACTGCTGTGCCGAGCTCGGCAAAGATGGGAGATCAAATCCCAGATTTGCACCTAGCTACAATTATTCTTAAATCCATCCCAGTTTGTCGCCTTCTGTCCTTTTTGAGTAGTTGCCCTCTCTCTCATCCCATACAACAACCTCTAGTCTAAGATCCTTGCCTGGGAAGAGTTGCTCCCAAGGCATCCTGTTTTACAGGCTTCAAATTCATCCCTGGTGTAAGCTGAAAGCATCTAATGGGTATTGCACCAGGATGTGGTTAAGCAGGTCACCCATGACCTTCCCAGCATAACACACACAACCTATTCGCTCAAGCAATTGGGTCAGAGCCCTTGGATGCGAATCCTTTTGAAAGCCAAGATTAAACCTCATTTGCACGTAATATGGGAATGCAAGAAATTAACATTTAATATCATCACAAAGCCTTCTGGGTCCATCTCAACCCCCTACAGAGCCCAATGGCCCCAAAATGTTTCTTCCAGGCCTGTTCCCTGAAGCTCTCTGCCAGAAGAAAACCTTAACAGCTTATATGAATCCTTCTGGAATAAACTGAAAAGAAACACACTGACCTTTCTTTGCCCACCGGACAGTCCCCTCGCTGGAGTGAACGTAATTTTCAAATTTTGTCTGCAAGACTGTGGCCCGCTCCCGGACTTCCTGAGGGTCCGTGCCACAGGATTTCTATAAGGGCGGTGGGAGGATTAGAGGAAAGAGAGAATTTGAGTCAGGAATAATGAAGCAGTTTACAATAGATTTAATAACAGTAAAATCACACAGTAACCACCCAGGGGCCAACAAAGGTAATCCTCTCAATATTACTAGAGAAAAAAAAATATAGATAAAGATGTTCAAGTCAAAGCAGCCAGTGAGCGCTGTGTGGCAAGGGGAGCAAATCAGTTTTAATTTTGTGTTTTCTAACATCTATCATGTATCTTTTTCCCTTGATTTTTTTTCTTTCTTCTTTTTTTTTTTTTCCCCCAGATTCAACAGGCCAGATACCACTGCTTGTTTCCATTGGAGTTATTTGGAATAACTCCCCCCAGATTCTATGTTAACAGTTCTAGACTGATATTGTAAGTCTGTGCAGTTCTCCAAGACACCTGGCCTGATCTTGGCACTTAAGGGGCAGAAGACCTATGTTCACCCCCAAGCTCCAGAGAACGGACCAAATTCAGTACCTGTGAACAAAGCCAACTAAACGAACGTCTCACTGTTGATGCCTACATGAAGTTTTCTTGCTGTCAGCAAGTCATACTTACGGTAACTGCCATCATCTGGTTCCCCTAGAATAAGACAAGGCCCTTGCACCAAAGGCATGACAGAAAAAACTTCCTTAGACCAAAAGAGCAATTTTGCAGGTGCTCAAGCTTTCCCAGGATCAGGCTGTAGGACACAGTTCAGGAAATGGAAAGCAAACATTCCTGGGAGCAAGCTGTTACTGGAAGAGAAAAGAGGCTGTCTCTACCCAGGCAGAGAAAGGAAATGCGGACAAGAAAACAAGAGAATTTTTGATGGAAATTTGACAGCAAAGCACAAAGCCAAGCATCCATGGATGTGAACCTCTCCCAAGAAAGGACCACAGTTCTCAAAAGCTACTCAGACAGGAACCAGCATCCAAGTCCAAGAGTGCCAGATCCAAGGCAGTAACTTGATATTGGTCAACCCCTCATCAGACCAGGGCTGACTGAAAACAAACATCCAGCTCCCATGACTCTGTACCAGGCCTGTGTCAAGGCAACAATCCTGTTGTTCCTCCCCGGTAGATTTGCATGCTAATGCTGCATAACCCTCCTTCCCTCGCAGCTGCGAGCATCACTTCTGCACCACTGCCAGCCCAGGGGAACTGTATCACACTGACACCACGAACCTCGGTGATCATGGAAGCCAGGCAACGCTGCTGGCACCCCACATGAAATGTTTTGCTGACCCAGATCTGCCACTCTACAGCCTAACAGCAAATCTGCCCAGAGACAGCACCCAAATACAGTCTAAATTCCCTGCACAGTGCCCGTCTTTTGAACTCAGGATCCTACAGCTTCCAGCCACCAGGTTATTCTTCAACGAAGCAAACACACATGGGGACTAGCGTTCCTGCTCACTCACCACCTGGACTGACTGTCCAGCTGCACCTCCAGACCACAGTGGGTATTTTAAGGCTACATGAAGAGTCTCCCAGATTTCCGGTCTCTGCTATCCGTCTCCCAATCCACTCCAGAAAGACTCACAACACTGCCCGTTCCACAGACGCCTTTTAGTTTGACTTAACGTGCGCCTGTTAATCAGCTGAGACAGTCTCCAGTTGAGGGGTCTCTGTAAAGGTTTAATAAACTACAAGTGGAGCTGCCTCCCCGAAGTGGACACTCATCGCTGTGACTAACAAGTTTCTATTGACGCGAAACATAAAACTTTCTCCCCCCGCCTGCTCCTCCTAGCCCCCATCACTTTTCTTTTGTTAAGCCTCCTGGCAGCACAAAGTGTCACCTTCCCAGCGTTTTTTAATATGAATGTGAAATTAGTGAGGTTTGCCCTTTCCCCTGGCGGACAGAATCCTCTGTTATTAAAAAGTAAAGCACTTTAATAATGAAAACTTTTTCTCTTTTTCCTGTGTTTTAACTGTTTAAAATTAATGAGAAGGGCATAACGGTTGTCAAAGCGATATTGAAAGCCGGGTAGCCAGGACCGAATAAGCACGAAAATCCCTCCAGAGTGTTAAATAAACAGTGCTTCAGCCCCCTCTGAATCCCTCTGTTGGTTATTGTATACATTCTGTAACAGCACTCAGAATAGATCTGAGCACCGGGGAGGCAGAAAGGTTTCAGAATTCCAATAAAGGCCTCAAATTAAAGACAGCCTGGTGCGAATTCCAGGAGAAAATTAAAGAGACCTCAAGCTTAAGTGACAGGTGACTTGCTTCTGTGTCACAACTGTCAGGGGATTTAGTGATAATATGGCAATATATTACAAAGGACTTTTCTTATTCCCCCCTTTAGGTTTCAAAATGAGGCATCTCTTCTTCCTGGTGCTGGGGGGAAAAAAAAAAGTAAGACGAAAATGAGGGATAAAAAACTAGGTGCATAATTTCCAAAGTGTGAGGTCAGTCCAAGAGAAATAAATGAAAAAAACCAAACGACACGAAACATAATGTACTCAGAAAACAGCTTCTCCCCTCCTCCTATCTCCACCTTGTCTTTTATCCCCTTCAGCCCCTTGAGACAGATCTCATTTTAAAATTGCCCCCTAATGGGCATGAAAAAAATCTGTGTTTGATTCCTGCCTTCCAGGGAGGTTCATCTAAAAAAAAAAAAAAATTTTTTTAAAAATCTAAATTTAAAACGGACTCGGAGCCAAACTGTGAAACTAAAACCTGCACACCATGTGAGTGTCTGGACAGATCAAATAAAACACCGCTACTGGAAGTGCACTGGAAGCCATCCTGTATGCTCTACTCACAAGCAAGCTTTAATCCTGCTCGTATCCTGGTTCAGATGAACAGGACAATTAATTTGAGACCTTACACATTTTTCCAAGACCCAAAAGATAAAAGCCTACCCCAGAGGCTTGCTTGATCTACTCTCCATCTAGATGAATTTGTTACATCTGTTAAGTAAGAAGCATTATTGCCATTACGGGGCAACAGTGGGATGGGAGAACTTTTTCTACCTTGTGTTTGCTTAGAGTAAGAGCCTATTCTGGCAGATCCCTAACCACTAGCATAATGACTGTGATCAATAACAATATCTATAAGTTAAGAGGAGAAATGGGGCTCGTTACAATGGTATTTAACAGATTCAAGACATCAGGGGGACTCCCCCAACCGCCAGCTACACCAGGAAAAGACATACTTATCTCTTTCAGAAGAAAGAAACTTCTGATTATAAAGACTGCAGCTTTTAGGTTTGAGAGGCTGGGATAAGTCTAGAAAGCCTCTGATTTCATTGAGAGAATATGTTAATGGGAGAAGGGATTGAAACACAATAAAACTAGACTGAGGTAGAAAAGTTCTTTCTTAAAACAGTACAAAAAAAAAAAAAAAAAGGAATGAAAAAAAATTGTGAAAAACCCAGGCTGTAACATCTCCTGCTTCCATTATACTTCAAAACAAAATGAAGGATTTTGTTTTAATAACAACTTTTTACTAACCTCCACACACCTTCTCTAGAACTCACCAAGTCCCCCTGCCCCCCTCCATAAAAGTTGAAAGATCAAATTTATTCTCTTTGTAGGCAAGTGAACATTCACACACCCAGACATAGCCACATATATATTTTATACACCTAAATATAAAATATACATTTTACAGGCATTTCAGCTTGCTCCCTGGCTGCACACAGAAGCCCAAAAAATACATGTTCCAATGTGGTACTTATAATGGACTTCAGTTGAGGCAACGAGAACCGAAGATCATTATAATGAGGTTCCTGTGTGCATGACTATAATATATACATAACCCAATGCATGGAGAGCTGGTAAGCAAAGCTAACACTCTCTCGAATGGCAACACCACAAACGGATCAGGTTCAGCTCCTCATAACAAGTCCTCAATCACTCTCTATCCCATGCAATGTCCCACTGCATTCCCAGCTTATTGTACCATCTTTACAGCAAACTCAGGGAATTTAATAGATATTAACCCGCCTGGAAACTTGGAAACATGCCCCCGCAGCTTCTGAGAACGCACTGCAGACCGCTTAGAGCCTCCAATGGCAATAAAATACAAAGCTAAGAAACAGAATGAATCCTTGATTGCATTTAATATATTTTTCAAGTAATTCCTGAAGAAGCCTGTTTGATATTGACAGAACTACTGTAATTTCATTCCCATTAAAAGTTAGAGGTTTTTTTCCATAAAGAGAAACTCTATTTCTCAGTCCAAATCCTTTCAGATTCTGAGTGGCATAAATATAGGTTGTTTTGTATTTTAAGTTCCTGCAGCAGATTCAGACCATCCTACAGCCAGAGTGGATATATCTCAGTTCCAAAAATCCCATCCACTTTGATGGAAGAGGGAAGAGAGGAATTCAATCCCACCTTTGACTGCAAGTGAAAGGAACCAGCTCCTGCATGCGCTCCTGTACAGCACCTGGCATGGCAGGGCATGCCCAGGCAGCAATGCTGAGTACAAACCAGAGTAACAGCTACTTTCAGATGTGGTTTGCTTTGTTATTTTTATGAAGGAAAGGGAGAAAGACAAAAGAGACTTACAATATTCTGTGCTTAAATGTGTGGAGTATTTTACAATTTGAAAGCATGGCAGAAATACCAATTTGATCTGTCCTGGTAGCAAACAGGGTTGTTAGCTTTTTATTGCTGTTCCAAAGGCAAGGATACAAAGGCACTGAGCTGGTTAGGTGAGAATTTTCAAAATGGATCAACAATTTTGAACCTCTGCAAGTACTGGGCTCTGACATTCAACAACATTCACAGGCAGTTTCAAAAGCCAAATCATAATTTCCTAGAAAAAACATGTTCTCTTTTTTTTCCCCACTTTCCATGAAATAACACTTGTCCTCAAGTCCAGAACAGCTAATACTCTGTCCCAGGTCAGCAACAAATTTAAAGTGCAACTTCTGCATAGATGTAATTTTGTTTCTTTTGGAGAGTTTTTCGACAAAGTTACCCACCTATAAGCGCATTTGGGAGAAAAGAGAAGTATTTACACACAGAAAAACTATTTAAAATAATTTCTGCATTAACAAAGCACAACTAAACTTTTACATATTTGTTGAATGAGTTAAGAGGTCATATCCTAGGCATGTTCCAGACATTTAAAATACAGCCATTACAGGCTGATTTCAGTGAAAAACTGTGCAGTGGTGGGAAAGAGCTTTAACTAGAGCTGTATCTCACATGAGCCGCAGATCTGGCTTTCTGTGAAATATAGGGCATGTAGGAAAACTGAACACCTTTCAAAAGCCTGTTTACCAAGAACACCACAGTTCGTAACAGTCATCCGCAGGAAACAAGAAGGCTCATACATGGTGTAACAGAAAGAACGAGCAGGCAAAACAGCAACAAGAGAAAAAAAGAGCGTGCTGCATCATGCTTGACACATTCTTGACTTTCATTCAAAATGAGGGTTCTTGGAGGATTTAATTTGCCAGAATGCAGAAACGCACGAGACATCAATTGCAAATGACTGAATTCTGTGAATTAGCAACTTGAAGGCAGACCCAAAGCTTGCTGAAGTCAATGAAAAGATGCCTGTCAACCCAGTGAGCTGTTTTAGGCTCCAAGTAAATACAGATAACAAAAAACCCTATGTAACACATCACCAAATACATTTTCCTTATTTCTTCAGAGAAGCTTGTGTCATCTGTGATCTCCAACAGTATTTTTGCTCAGAAAAGCCGAGGAGAACAGAAACATTGTGAGGGAAAAAAAAACCCAAAGCTTCTGCAGCCAGAAACTTTTACTGTCCGTTACAAAAATATTTGCTGAAGAGTTAGAAGCAACTGCTTTTTGGGGACAACAGTTTAAAGATTGGACAACTGTGATATAAGGCAATTCTGTAATTATTTGCACTGCCTGACATCATGGATATACCAACCCTTGTATTGTAATGATGGAAGCTAAGGGAGGAATACTTATGATGTTTATCTGGTAAATGAAGATTGGAGCAATCCCAAATCAGCAGAGTAACTCACCTTGCTTCTTGGTCTGTGCAACTTGAAGCGATCATCTTTCATCAGGCTGGATAATACCTTCTCCATCTTTATCTCTGAAACACTGAAGCAACAAAGACAAAAAAATTACCATTTCTCCTACTTTTCAAATACAGCGTGTAATGAGCCACAGGCTGATAACGGATAGCAAGACGACTCAGATTTACACATTCAACTTAAGAATTTATCCCTGAAAGACATGAGGTCTTACCCCAGACACTCATTTAGCATCCCTAAAAATGCAACTCCTGTAAAATCTCGACCCCAGCTGAACTCATGCTTTCATGGGAACAGAGACACAATTTTACCCACAATTTTGTCACCGTCACAAGTCACCAACACACACTCCAATTCTAACACAGCATCAAAATAACTGAGGGTGGACTTTCAGTTCACTGAAAGTCTCCCTGGTTCTCAAACAGAGTAATTGATTAATGAAGAAATTTAGGCCTTTAATTATATTTGTAATTTTCATAATTTTTCTTTCCTTGCATTGAGAAGCACCAAGACAACTGGGAACCATTTGGTTACGTTTTCCACTAAAGGAAACTCACAACAGAGTTGAAGCAGCTCATAACATTAAAGCTTCTTGTAGATTTGCTTTATGACTATAAACAATAAGATCTCTAACCTCCACTTTGAACCCACCGGGTGTCAAACATTTTATTGTACATCAGATGCCACGGGCAGGGAGCAGGTGGTGTCTGCATTTGGTTGCTTGTGCGAGTGTGAGAGAGACCGAGACATACACATACAGGCTGGAAAGATGTGCTCTGCTTACTTTGCTACTTCTACATCTTGTCTCCACCCCAGTTTAACTTCTAGATTCTCTGGAATCAGAGACACTGCCCAACCCTCATTTAAAGGAACAAATTACTTGTGGGTGGAAAAAAACCTGTGTAAACATACATTAGCGACCATACTCCCGAAACTAAGGGGCTAAAACTAAAGCTGTGTAAAGACACGGCTCCTTCCCCCCATTAGTGACTCAAGCTCAGAGGGTAACAACAGGATCCCAAGGAACCTCTCCTATCAAGCCAACTCTCCTGCAGCTTCCTTCCCTCTGGCCACATCATCATGCTCTCCCACAAGATCTTACATCATTCCAACTCCTTGCTACATTGCTTGGGTCAAAGCTCAGAGACACACTTCCTGATGGACACATTCAACCTTCAATTCGTTTATAGCTTCACAAGCCACCTCTGACACCAAATACATGGTTTGGCTTCCTTCCCCATTCTGAGAACTCACCTTCCCTCTCATTTGAAGTGTAAAGCCAAAGCTCGGCCCATTAGGGACCCCACAGCATTTTTTTTAAATACAGGAGACTCAGTCAGGTGTCCTAGCCAGGCTTCACACTGGGCATTTATTTTCATTCTGTCGACTCGCATTCCTCCTGTAGATTCAGCCAGATGATTTATTCTCTAGCCCTGCTTGCAAGACACTGCTGGGTACTGTTATAGCCCAGATACTGGAAACACCTAGAAACCTGCTTCATTTTAAAGTGAGTGGTCCTACTTAGAGGCACATTTACAGGAGACTAGAAATTCTTCCTCCTCTTTAACACTGTCTTGTGGGGCACACGCACACCAGGTGACACAATACAGGAACAGCTGTGCAGCTCCAGGCCATTAATATTACAGCTGCATCCAAACTGGGTCCCATTTCCAAGGAAAATACTCAAGATGATAAAAGCCGAAGTTTGTGGGCCCAATTTTTCAGCAATGGGCAAAGGTAATTTCTAGAAAAGAGATTCTTTTCCTTTTTATACCAGAATATCATCATAAATACTGCATGGAAGCCAGGGAGTTCATTTGGGGTTACATCATTCTAAGGAAGAGAGGAATCTTGGGGGTCCAACAGTTCTCAGACTCCTGAATCTCAGATGGTCAGAAAGATGTTATGTAGTTTCTGAAAGGAAAGCATTGCTGGTATTCTTCAATTTGTAAAGTATAGAAAGAAATTATAACACAAGGATATCCCCTTTCTTGTTACACAAAGATCTCTAAACACTTGGTTAGGAGGAATGGATAAATCTTTGCCAGTTCCCCAGTCCTTCCCAGTTAAAGTGACAAATACCTTTACTTCTGCAATCTGCATTTTCAACCTTAGCCAGCTCATCGTCACAACATAAGGGAAGGAAAAGAGACGGTCCAGAGAAATAGCCATCTAGCCTGGAAGGTACAGTGTGGCCATAAGATATGCTATATGGGAGAGAAGTCCCATCATTGTGCAGCTGGGACTCCTGATGTAGCAGATTCCTCTGCAGAGGATGCAGAGAGAGAAAGGCGGGGAGTGATGAGGGAGAAAGGGAAATGGAGCATAAAAAGACATCCGAGGGTTTCTCTGTTTGTTTTTGAGAAGTGTAACAGTAAATTAAAACATAAATGGCAACCACTTAAGCAAGAGAAAAGTCTAGCTCCCCATCCCCCCCCAAAGGCTGCTTTGACACCGCTATGAATGAAAACGTCAAACCTTTGACATTGATTTGTCGGAGATGTCACCCCCTCTCCAATCCTCCTCTCGCCTGGCGCGCTGCCAGCTCGCAGCCTAACAGATATGTGAACTTGGTTCACAGCAGGGAGCATCATGTGAGGGGAGCAGGGGAGGGGGGCAAGCACAACCACAGAGAAGGGAGAGAAATGACTCGTGCCTTCACGGTGATGCGTTTTCCTTTATAAATTAGTTAGGCCGCCGTTAGGAGATAAAGAAATTATCTGATAGCTGTCGAGACAGGCACTGCTAGATTGCAGTTGAAGGAACTAAAAGATACATAAAGGAAAAAACAAAAAAGTGAACCTCACTGACTTTCTTCTGCTTCGTGCCTCCTCCCCGTGAAGAGAAATCTGTTAGTTACGCTTAGAGCTGAAACAGAACATTTTGGAGTCTAACCTTTTAAAAAAAGAAAAAAAAAAAAAAAAAGAAAAAACAAAAAAGTGAACCTCACTGACTTTCTTCTGCTTCGTGCCTCCTCCCCGTGAAGAGAAATCTGTTAGTTACGCTTAGAGCCGAAACAGAACATTTTGGAGTCTAGCCTTTTAAAAAAAGAAAAAAAAAAAAAAGAAAGAGGAAATGTACAGAAAACATGAGTGTGCATGTGCATGCACACATGCATTTACCGTTAGGTAGAGGAACCACAACTTCAAGCCACACAAAGACAGAAAAGAAAGTTGCAGAGAGGCATGCGGCTTCCTTGAGCCCCAACAGGAATTACTGATCTCAGCAGAGCCAAAGTGAGATCGTTTTGGCAAAGGCTAATGCTGCCTTGCCACAGAGGAAGCCAAGGAGAGGCTTCAGGTACCGGTGAAAATTAATTGCGAGTGATTTCCAATTTCAAAGGCAGTCATCCCTAATTCCGAAGTGGATTTTCATCCAGGAACAAAGCCACGTCTGCTCTCATTACTTCCGACTCTCAACATTTCTGGACTTACTCCCATGCATGCTGGGGTGGGTGGAGGGGCTTCAGAAAAACTCTGGGTCAGATCCTCATCCAGTGTAAATCAGCACTGCACCGCTCATTTACACCAACTGAAGGCTGCAGGGACCCGTCTCATGCTTTGTCTTCTTAGAAATACATATTTTATGAAGTATTTACATTTCAATAAACCCAGCGGGAATTTCATTTAAAAAAGAAAAAACAAATAAAAAAAAAATTCACAACACGCACTCATCCCCAACAAAACCCAAGAAATTTAAAAATTAAGCAAAGAATAAAAAAAAATGCAAACTCCAGTAACTTGTGCAGTCCAAGTCAAAAGCTACAAAGACTTAGGATAAAGAAACAGAAATTATCAGTGCTTAAGAGGATCGGTGACAGTCCAACACATGCTGTCTTTCGCCCTCGCACTGAATTAAATTGTCAGGATTATCACCATAATGCTCTGTTTATGAAGGGTAACGGCAATTTGTGCTGATGGCACTTGCTGCCTTTAGCTTCAAGCTGCCTTCCTGCATCTTCTCTGTAATTCATCAGCTCTTTTCTATCCCGTTGCCCCTTCTCACACCAGGCGCTACTATGTAGGAAGAGAGGAGGACACATGATTGCGAACAGGCCGAATCGCCCGCCCATGCCAATTAGACACTTATTTTCTTCCATCTGAAGACGGGGGTCAAGGAAGGCAAATTTACACTCCTTTTTTGGCAAGTCCCTTATCTGCAGGGCAGCACATTTTATGAAGAACATAAAACAAACAAACAAGAAAAGACAATCTCCAGAGTTGTTTGGCTCTACTGATTTGAGAAGTGGAGAAAAAAAAAAATATGCATGTAAACCTCCCTCTGCTCATTCAGCAGTCTTCTACAGATTCCTGAGGAACAGTGGCTAGCTCAACAACAGGTTTCCTTAGCAGATATAATTACCAGCCTGAGTGACACTGCTCCTTAAACTTGTTAAAAAACAACAAAATCTGATAAAAGCATTAACATTTAAAATAAAAAAAAGGGGGGAAATTTCCCTCTCCTTCCTCCAACACTTCCAAAATATTATAAAATAGAAAAATAGAACTTTCCACTTGGAGTTAAAAATTCACAATTATGTGGGATTTCACCTTTAAATGTCAGTGCTGTTTGTTACATGAAAAAAAACCCCTGTCAGCTTAGCCCTCCATGTCTTGCTGGTGTCTGCTTAATAGATAGTTACCTGGGATGATGGATGGCTCTTTGTTAGACCACTAAATGGCTCACAGCCTAGAATAAGCCTGTATTTACTGCCAACATTTGTTTGTTTCAAGGATGCAAAACCAAATTCGACTCCAAGCAGCTCCACCCGACATAAAGACAAGAAATAAAAGAGAACTAATTTGTGCATGAGTTTACAGGGCTCCATCAACACTAGTACAACACTAAAGGGACTCGGCTCAGCTGATGTTCTGAAATGCCGAGAGACAGCAGTGAAGGGAGCAACGGGAGTCACATATATCCAGCTGACTGCCAAGGAGGCTTGAGACCCGATAGCGCTCCTGACTAGCAATGCTGAGCAGCGAGTTGTGTTTTTATCCACAAAAGGACGATTGTGCAAGCAGAGCCGGAGTAAAATCTCACCATGTGTTGGCCATCGGGGTAGCTGACTGTACATTGGGCTGGTCCTTACCCAGCCTGGCTTGCTCTCCTCACCCTTTACCTCCAAGTCCTAGCTAGAGCCGGTGTAAGAGAAGCTTTCTCAGCTGGTTTGGAAGCACACCCCACTTTTGGTCTGTAGAGTCCACCCCCCTTACTACCTTCCAGGACTGTACTGGGCACTCACTACTTGCAAAAGCCTCTACTATTCCTGTCACAAGCCACTTACACAACACATCTTGGCCAATTACCTGCCAGAAACGACCCACAGCTCCCTAGCTATTTCTCCACCGGATCTCTCCTGAAGAGAAAGCAGAGTCTCCGACAATATGGTGCTATGCAGGCAGATGGCCAGTTAGCATTTGACAGGCTCATTTGACTCATGATCTCCACATAGCCACGATTTGAACCCAGGGCCAGACAGATAGCAATGGACTGCAAAGGATCTCTGACTATCGTCTCCTCTCTGCCCCTCACCACATACGCTCACTCATGCACAATCTGTCAGGCTGATGATTTTCACACACTTTCCCTTCTCTCCTTTTGCTAGTCTGGGGCTGGTCCTGGATCACAAGAATTAATAAATTCTTATTAAAACCTGCACGAGACACAGTCCCGCTGAAAGTGCCATGGAAGGTTAATTAGCAAGGATGAGCTGAAACTTTTGTTCGCGTTTCTGACTCACTTAATCTTGTGAGAAGCCAGCAAGCTGACATATTCTGCCTCCGAAGGCGCCAGGACAAGCAGGCTGTTCCCGTGACAGCCAATGCGAGCCGTCCTCCCGATCCGGTGGATGTATTCCGCAGGTGAAGCCGGAGCGTTATACTTCAAAAAAGGAACATGAGAAAGGAAAGGAGGAATTAACAGAACACAGCATGTTAATTATAAACGAGACACTCAGCCCACTCATCTGAAACAAAAGGGATCTTAGCAAAACCCACATGCTGTACCTCCCTCGGAATTGGCCTGTTTATAAAGAGCCCATCGGGCTCATCCCTGTAACCATCACTCAGCCCCCTCAGCCACAGCAGTTTTTTGACATGTGAATGTGACACATTGGCCAACTTTCAGATAATAGGACAGTTTCCTCATCTCAGTGTCTCTCTTTGCCTTTTACATTGTATTTCTATACAGGCACGTCAGGAACCTGTTTGCTTCCCCTAAAACAAAAAAAAATAAATCTCAGAGACACCTCAAGCCAAACAACCCCCGGGACTGCCCATACAGAGCGGGAAGCTGTCTGCTCTGCACTTGGAAGACAAGACTTAAAATAAAAGACCACGGATTCAAATTTGGAGTTGGGCTAAATTGCTTTGCTTTGATTAAAGTAATTAATAGATTTCTTCTACCCATTGACTAGCTAAGAGAGATGAGGGAGTAAGTGCTTTCAGCAGCACATGATACACGTAGCAATTGTCTTCCCATGTACAACTATTAGGTGCTATGAAAATGTTGCTTAAAGCCCCCCCCCTAATATAGCAGGGCCTCTCATTTACTTCACTGGGAATGAAAACTGCGCAGCCATTTGCAAGATCTGATAAAGGGTGACATATTTCCCTCCATGAGCCCTCAGCAGTTTAACTGGAAAAAACCCAACAACCAAAGCCCACTCTAGTGTTTATACCTGTGCCCTCTGGCAAAGTTTCTACTGGCTAGAGGTGTGAGTAAGATGCTGTGAGCAATCTAATTGCTCCCTGCAGGTCCCTGCTCTTGGACACAGCTCTCAGGACAGCTGAGATTTCGCCTTCTGGACACACAGAAGTCTCCCAGGGCTTTAGGTAATTTGCACTGCGTTCTAACACTGGCAACTATATCTTTGGTTAAATTATATTAATATACAGATCTGGGAATTAAAGACTTCACTTCCCTAGCCTTCTCCAGCTAGCTAGCTGCTACAAAATCTTTCTTTTTTAAAAACACAAAATTAAAATAAAATTTGTTACCTGAAGGGATGAGGTAGAAATTAAAGAGCTTTGTTGAGGCTCTGTGCCCTGTTCTTTTTACCCAGGTGTCACTTGATATGCAAGAATCTCTGGATCAGTTTTTCCACCATTCAACTAACATTTTTTTAATTATAAATCTTTTATAAAAATGAAATCTGCTTCATTCTCTCAGTTTCCTCTTTGAAATGACAGGCTGCTATTTTTAAGGTTCAATACATCTCCCTTAGTTTCTTTTTTTTTTTTTTTTTAAAAGACATTATTTCTGTCAACAGCAATGCAGCAGTGTTGGGGTTTTTTTGTTGTTGTTTTTTTTTCTCTCTGGGAAAATCTGAACTATGCAGTTCTACTGAAAGCTGAATGCTTACAGCTACCCAGCCCCAGCCTCAACCCAGCAAAGCCTCACTTGAAACATTCAGGTCATTGCACAGACACTGTTGGGCTACTCAATGTTTAACATTAGGATTGTATTTAAACTCCTCATGGAACTGCTTCCCTAGCAAGCTCAGAAAAACAGAAACACAGAACAAGAGAGATGGCCAGTACTTCACAAGATTTGGCTTCCTGTGGGGGGAAACAGAGGATCTTTCCTCCCAGCCAGTGGAATATTATTACACAGCTGATAACACTGGAGTTACTGAAGAGGCAAACAGACTGTCAAAACCAAAGATATGATAGCAATGCTGTATCCTAGCAAAACCTTGAGTCCCAGTCCTGCAGTCCGGAACGTGTGGGTCTCCCACACCTGTAGGCATTGGCACAAAGACCAAACTGCAGAAAGAGGGTCTGGACTGGAAAGGGATTTCATCTGAGCAAGACTGCACTTAATACATATGCACACATACATACACAGCAAACCTACCTGTACGATCCATGTAACTTGAGGCAGGTCTAGTCCACGTGCTGCAACATCCTTTAAAATTAATAAGGAAATTACTTTAGTAAAAATGCTTTGAAGATGTCAGCAAAGTAAGAACTTTTCTGGGATGGCAATTATGCCAGGAAACAACTGGCCATGCAAGGAGGAATCTTATGTGTCTAGTTTGGGTAGAGATGGACTGAAGGTCTCAAGTAACGCTGACGGTTTAAAATGCAAGGAATATCGTTAACAGACTAATAGAGTAAAAAATGATCCACCGCTATGGCCCAAAGCCTGGAGGATATAAACCCAACGTACTTCAGGAGAGTGGTGTTGAATGACAGCAGCCTGCTACAGTCCCTTTACATTATATCTGAGAGAATCAACTGCCTTAATGGTAGCAATACCTTTGGTTCTTCTGTTTGTTTCACTGATGAAAACAGATCTGCTCGTAGGTACCTACTACCCAAACAGTGAGAGACGCAGAATGAAATCTCTGGAAGGCAACACTATTCCTGAGCACAGCTTTCTCCACAGCAAGCCTAAGAACTAAACGCAGGCTGCTTATAATGAAAAGGAAAATGGCCATAAAGCAAATGGTCAAGGATCCTAGGCCTTGAGTGGAATGTCCAAAAATGCACTGAATCTCCACCTACAAATAATTAGTTGTTTCCTAGGTGATGGTCTGAAGTTGAGGAGCCGATGACTTGCAGGTCACCTGGCCCTATGATAAAAGGCCAACAAGCAATTTAGCAGAATCTGCAGGAAGCTAGAGTACAGTTTGAGGAGAGGGGACTTCAGCTATCCCTTAGATTTTCACCAGTCTGGCTTTGATTTGGAGAAACAAAACTCAGCCCCAAATAAAAGAGTCTGAAGCTGCTGTCAGGAGTGTTATTTGATGTGCCAGCTGGTGAGAAAACCCATCAACTTGGAGAAGGACTTGAATGAGACCCTTTAGTTATCCACAGCCAGTATAGCTCAAAAAACATACCCTTTCAAAGAGAAAAGAGAGTTTAAATACTGTTCAAAATAGAGAGGGAGTGCAAACATGTTTCAATCTCCTTTCTTGATTTTCTGTTCATTAGTAATGTCCTCACATACTCCTTGGATTTTACATTCACGACGCGCAATAGCAGAGCAGGTGTGCAGATTTAACTCTGTTAGGAAATGTTTTGGAACACATGTATCTTTTAGCTAGTTGCAAAATAGAATATATTACGAACGTAAGCAGGAGCTTAATGTACTAAAAATGTGTCAGCCACCCACTGAAGTGTTTTCATGCAACTCCCACACACGTTAAAAGACTAGGAAGCTGATGTTTTGGCAGCAAAGGCCTTCCCATAAGCACTAGCCAGGTTGCTTTGTGGCTCCAACTGCAGTAAAAGAGGAGACACTTTCTGCAGCGCCCACTCTGAAATAATATACACTTTCGCTCCAACACGCTCATTAAGAAACGACTTGTTCCCAGAGTCAGGATGAACAGATGTACAAAAAGCCATTTAAAGGAGGTTGGAGAAAATAAATCAAGAGAAGTCGGGGAACGTGTACAGCAGTTACCAGGATAACAAGATTATAAACTCTACAGCACGATCAGACAGGAGTGCTGACGTCTGATTCCGATCTGGCTGGCTCTGTTATATACTTTCACACTGACAAGTCTTTGGTCTTTTCCTACACTGTGCTCTTTCTCACACCCAGTAGTCTAGGAAAGGCTGTGTTTGATGAGAGGGCTCTGACCTTGGCACAGGGTCAGTTTGCCCAAAATAAACAGATAGCCAAGATGTCCCTGTGGTCAGGAGCAGGCACCTCCAACAAGGGGAGGAGAATTAGAGGGCAGGGGCAGGAGCCCACCCTCTCATCCATCAGGATTCTTTCTCTTCTCTTCTAAGATACCTTTTCTCAACACCTCTGGCCAGGAAACTACAGCATTGTTCTCATGTGCATTTGCCAAAGCAAGCAGGAAAGTTTAAAAGGTTAACAGAAAGCTTAATAGATAGCCAGGGACAATATTTTAGGAGGAGCTTCTCTCCCATCGTCAGCCTTGTATTCACTATTGCTCACACAATGCCACCAACTCCACTCAGCTGTTACTGACACATATCAGCAGCTATTCTCTAGGGGTTTAACTTGGCTTTCTTTCAGAAGTGTCTTGGGATTTAATGGTAATTGGAGTGTTTTGCAAACTCTCAAAGATTCCTCAGTATCAGTCCACCTGCGTCCTCCTGTAGCTCCTTTTCCTCAGACTGTAGTAGATAGCAGCAAGGTAGAATTAGGATAAAAGGTTTGAGTTGATTTGCTTTCCTTTGCTGGCAGAGCCCATGAGCTTCTTGCTTCTCAAATTTTTAAAAAAAAATACTTGGGGGTCACCATATCAGGAAAGAGAATCCTTATCAGAAAGAGAAACCTTATCAGAAAGCTCAAGCAACAATTACCCAGTTTTACTAGCACTACACTTATTCCACACACAGAAGCACTAACCTGCTGCCTGTGCTCTTTCAAGACGCCCAATAGATTTCCAATGTACTACTCTCCCTTCTTTTTCACTGCCCGAGACTGCATTCCCCTTTCCATGCATGACCTCACACCACCATTCCTTAATGACAGGGAAATCAAGAATATGACACCTCAGCAGGTCACCGCTGATTCCTTTCAATGGGCAAGGGAGAATTAAGTGACCATGTCACAGGAGCAAGGAGAAATAATCGACACCAGTGCAATTCTAAAGAAAACCCAGATGCCAAGCAAACAGATAATCTGAAGCCTTAACCATGTTCCTGCCCTGATCCCAATTGCAAGCCACAGAATGGCACAGTATCAAGGTACGATCCACCTGAGGACCCCTGGAAATGCTGAAAATTTCTGCTTCTAACAATTCATGTTACCAGCCTGTGCTCGTGGTGGTGGGGTACAGAGGGGTAGGTACAAGGGACCAGAAGGCAAAAAGGCCATACCAAAAGCGAGGCATATCGCCGCAGAAGATCAGAACCACCACAGCCAGAAAAGTTTTGCAAAGGCCTTGGTTTGCTCAGTCCCTCTCACAGAGTCTAATTAGGGCAAAGGAAATTGCTAAAGTTGCTTTTGAAAGACACTCAATGGTGAGGTCTTGAAGGCCCTGAGCTTGACAATTGGCTGCCTACATGAGGCCTAGAAGTACAGATGGAAGGCAGCTTGCTCAGGTGCCAGGCTGTCAGTTGGATTAAAATGACTCATTTATTTACCAAAGAACCTCACAAAGTGCTTTAGTTAACAGGCAGAGAGGGCCTAACGGCTCTCCAAGCTGGGGAAGAAGCTCTCGCGCCTTCCCGGCCTGCCAAAAGTCATTACTGCCGAGTGTGGAAAGCCATCAGCAGGGTAGAGACCCCCGTCGGCAGGGTGACAGATTGGGCTGCGTAATCAGAGGAGGAAGGAGAGAGCACAGAAGCTGTCAGAGGCGAAAGCTCTTGGCTGGGGCCGCCAGAAAACTGGCAAGATGAGTTAGCGTGACTGAGTAAACAGCAAACAATCTCCAAATGATCTTTCCTCTCTCCCTGGAAGAGATGAACTTGTTTAAAGGCACATCCCAAAGGAAGCTGCAAAGAACTTCAGTGAAGGAGAGAGAAATAAATCTGGATGAGACCCTCTGAGATATACAGCCCTTCTTTATTTTCTTGTCTGCCAGCTTATATTGTCTGGCAAAAATATTTTATGGAATATATTAATATACATATGACATAGAGCAAATTAATAAAAGGAACAGCAGGTCCCATTGCTTACTAGAGCGGAAAGATGGGTGGAGAACATGGCATAAGGGACAAGGGAAGGACGGCAACATTATTTGTGTTGCTCTTTTGTGAGCCAGGTTTCAAAATTTTGTGGGCACAAAACGTGATTTTGCAGTGAAAAGAACAGAACCATCTTTCTGCAAAACATTTTTGCTGATATGAAGAAAAGTGTCAGAAAAAGCAATGCCCTCGGAGGCAGGAGGTGGTCACAGTGCCTGGCTGCCCTTTGGACATCTGCGTCGGGGAGGCACCTGTAATGTGGGACTAGTGCAAAGTGTATCTCTATATTAAGGTGTCCATATGGTCCCCATTACTGTGGTAACAGGCCACCTCCTGGTTTCAATGCATTTGTCCTCCCAACATCTCTGTAAGATGGAACAGTGCTACTATCCCCATTTTACAGATGGGGAGCTGAAGCACAGAGAGATTTTGGACTCAGACACACAACTTACTATGCTTAACGTGCTAACCATGTGCCAGCTGAGCCATAGTAACTGTAACCATCAGGAACTGCATCCCTGCCTTGCAGTAAATGCAAAGTAGCTTAGATTGAAACGAAGGAGGGTTACAATAAATGCATTACCTTACACTACCCTCTTCATGGCAATCTAGGTTAATTCACGTTACCTCCCATTTATGGCGGGTCAGGAGCAAACACACAACTATTGCTGCTCAGCTGACATGTGGCTACTTGCCTTGTCATCACAATTCCACATTCACTTGTATGGAACCTGTGGTGTGGCAGGAAATCAAACCACGTCTCCAGTGCCTCAAGAGGGGGATCCCATCCACTGGGATTTCTTTATCCAACTTCTTCTTCCTACCTTGTCAACACCTGCATGTTTCCTGGCAGATTTTTCCCACCACAGGCTGCATTTCCCCTTCAGTCTCACCCAGGAACTGATACCCCAGTGATTGCAATGATTCTGTTTTCTCTTTGTCTAAAATTGAGCATTCACTGTCTTTCCAAACTTGTTAAGCTGAAATTTCAGTAACAAGACGTGTCCCTGAAATTTCTCAGTTATAGACAGCATGTGCATGAAGGATAACAAAGTTTCGCTATTTATTATTTAGAACTTACCAAACACTTTTTATCTTCAAAACGCTTAATCCACTAAATGATTTAAGCTTTGCTAACCTCCTCAGGTGAGACACTTAACTATTACCTTATATACAGGGAAATCAAGTTACAGGTACACTTACGCATTGCAAAGATGCATTTTGACCTTGATCCAAGTCCTTGAAAGGTTGTACACACAAGCAGGACCAAGACTAGCATGTAACAAGGACAATTTTACAGGTGATACAATACATAATTTGGTAATGCTAAATCAAACACTCTATATACATGGCAGTCCTAGTTTGAACTGCAGGCATAAAAATAAGATAAAATTCAGCACCCATTCTCTGAAAAAAAAAAAAAAAAATTGCAACTAGTTTCCTTTAAGAATAATGTGCTGCAAGAACAGGAGTCGTTTCAGAGCTGGAGAGGGTTTCTCAGCTCTAATTACTCCCGATCGCTGTAATTTACAAGTTTGCGGTGGGTAGAAATCGCCAAGATTCACACATTTTCAGATCAACAGCTGCCACTATTAGAGAGCAAATCGTGCAGCCTTCTGCACCACTGCAGCAGGCTAGCTGTGGCACCGACAGGTCAGAAACGAGAAGCGGAAGGTGCCACCACAATACAAGGGTGCCAGCAAACTTCAGTAGAGGACAAGAATTTCTCCCTCAGCACCCTTGAAGGAAGCTTGAAGGGCAAAGCATGGAGAGCAGCAGAGCGTGTGTATTTCTAATGACACTATTCTCTAGTTGGGCTTCCCTTCGGTCCCTGCAGGTTTTTGTTTTTAACCTTGGGGTAGTCATCAAGATGGGAAATATCACATTACATCCAATTTACCTGGCAGTTATGGGGCATACTACAAATTAGAATTGTGTTCTACTGACCGCAGTGTCTCTACACTGAAGGTTCCAACTTCAAACGAACAGATTTTTCCAGACATAAGACCATGCAAAATACTTAGAGGCCTCTTGTATAAGACATACACTTTTTCTGTATATGGCACCTTGCAGCAAAAGATCATGTGACAGTTTGCAAAGAGGGTACCAGTCCTTATTAAATACGTGAGATGCAGAAAAAAGGTGATGACTTTCGTGAAGGTCAGACAGTGAGCTGGAATTAGAGCTCAGTGCCAAATCCTCTGTTCTACCATGAGATATCAGACAGGCCCATTAGTGTGGAGCTGCAAAGGGGCTCTAAGTTACTTACAGTGCAAAGCAAGATGCCAGTCTTGGATTTTAAGAACTCCTGGAAGACCTCTGTTCTTTCCTAGAGGATTGAAACAGAAAAATGAAGGGGGCTTATGCACGTTACAATCAAACATAAAGCAAAGTAGCTAATGTAACAATTTAACAACTACGCCTCATTCACTATGTCATGTACAGCTTCAAAAGCAAAGGAATTGACTTCACAAGTTTCAGTCAGACTCTTCCTGCAAATGGGGGAAAAAAAAAAAAAAAAAAGTGTGGCATACAGGTGTGGTCCCAGGTAGGAAGGCAAAGCCTCTGGGGCAAGCCTGAATGCAGTCAGTCAAATCAAAGCAGCCAATGCCTCCACAGTTTGCACAGAAGCGTGCCCTGTGTATGTCAAAAAGCAGTAACTGTTTTACATGTAGAGTGGACCCACAAAAGATTAGGCAGCAGCAACAGAAGCACTGGCATACTTTATGGGCAATGCAGGCTCTTGCGAATGCAAGAAAAACCTCCACATCTTAACTGCTGCCTGTCCAGTCACACGATGGGCAGGATAAGCCCATTCCGTTGACACAGTGATACAGTCACATCACAAGAGATCAGCCTCATCATGTGCCCAATGGGGCATGCAGAGAGTCACTGGACTGCCTGTAATTATTAAGTATCAGGGATGTTCAGCTGCACAGTTGCTCATGCGAATTGTTGCGGGATAAATCTTCAAAGTAACAGGGCAGGAGAGATGAGATCTTGGCCAGAAACCCTTGCCCAAAGGGACAATGGGGCAGGACTCCTGGGCCCTGCAGGCAGCTACCACAGAGCTCCCAGGGCACCCTCCCAAGGCCTTCCTGCAAGAAAAGGCCTCATACTGGTGAGGGCCACCAACAGGGCTGCTGACACTGGGATAGAGGTTGTTCCTACCCACAAGTGTCAGAGGCAGGTGCTCCCCAGCCTTGTCCTCATTGCTGGTCTGCACCGGCAGAATTCCTGCAGCCCCCACTTTTAACAAAAGCTCAGGCTCCCAGGCAGGGCTGTCCACAGCCCCCACATCCCAAATTACCCGGCCAGCAGGCTTTTTGCTGTTGAGCCCCAGAACTGCAGGAACCCACCAGCACAGCTTCTCACTTACCTTCGAAAACCTCCTGCTTCGTCAGTCCCAAAACCTTCATAAGCACACTGCAGTTAAATGAACTACTTTGGGTTATGTTTTTTTCTTTATAAAAGCAAGAGAAACTGATTCTCCAAGCCACATTACATCACAATGATATTTGCTATCACACAAGACAATCTCTGAGCACTAGTAACCAAAGGCCTCAGTAGCATTTGGTCTTCGCTTGCCAGTACCACCTATCCACCTACACTCCCTCTCAGCTGTGGGAAACAACCACGCACTCACCCTCCCTTGACCTGATTCCATTTACTCTTTTCATTTTCAGAGCTCAGGCTGTCTCTGGCCTCAGAAACACCATACCTGTTTCCTTCCTGCCCCTATTGCTTCCTCCTTCCAAAATATCTTTGTTTCCATGTTTCAAGCCTTCCTCCTCAGAGTTCTAGATAGGAGTTAAGTGAATGTCCTGTTAAGTTAATGATATAGAAGAAACCTTACACACTTGACTCCCAGCTAGAGGTACTGTTCTAGGGAAGAAGGGAAACTCGGGGCCTTGCCGACACACTGAACCCTCTGCTGACAAAAATTAAAGAAGAGAGCACGCTGTATCTTGTTGACAATGACAGCAGCCGTGCTCAGCAGTACCATATGGGATCCACAATTTAGCTCCATTAATGCTCTTAATTTGAAGACATCAAGCACTAATTACACACTGGGTACTAAAAAGGCAAAACCCTTCCCCTGGTGCCAGCTACTTAGTGGTGTTCTGTTGGCTTAACAGCTGGTCAGGGTAAAGTTGGGCCAGACCAGGCCTGCTCACTCGCTCAGGCAGGCAGGTTGAGGAAAGGCCAGACTGCAGGGACAGCAAAGCACATGTTTCTGCTCTCCACAGGATGGGAATGAGTAAGAAAAACAATGGGTCTTCACCTCTTGCTTCATCAGAAGAGCTCTATTCATTTACCATCTCTGCTGAGCAGCTCAGAGTAGTGTGGTAACACTCTCCGTCACAGACCAAGGGCAGGATCAGAGGCTGAACTTCAAAGGGAGGTCCCTCAGCTATTGAGAGAAACGCTGCAGTGACAGTTCATGTGACACTGTTCTCCTGGCCTCTCGGTCCTCTGTAGCAAGCTCCAGTCTCATCACCCAGGCCTATCCAGCTAAAGCCTAGACCTATTTTGGGCTAATTGGTTATATTGCTATTATTACATCCCAGGGAAAAAAGCAGTCTGTCAAGACACTGTTCTTCAAAACCATCCTCATCTAATGGGGACAACTTACTGGGTAGTAATGTTATGGGGCTTGGACGAGGTTTCCCTTTGGCATTTAAGGCCTGTCTTGACTGCATGAGAGAGAACCATGGATACATAAATGGCTTAAGTGCACCCACTGGGAATAGAGAACGGCTGCCTCAGCTTGCTGGAATAACACCTCTTGCCTCTTCAGCGGTGTTTTTCAGATATAGCTACCAAGGTACTTTACAGAAGTGGGACAATATTCTTATTCTCATTAGCAGATGGAAGAGTGAGGCCCCTAGAGGTGAAATGACTCTCTGTCCTCTCTTCTGCCCTCCTCCCCAAAATAACCACATAATAAATCATAGGGAATAAGGAATAAAACTGCATGTCCTAACATTTTGAGAACGCTTACTTCTTGTTCCATGTTGCCGTGCAGTCGTAGAAACTGTAAGCACGCAGAGGAGACAGATGAATGTTCAGGTTGTTCTGACTCTAGCCCTCCTGAAAGGACCTTTAGGAGGAGCTCATAGTGGAATTCCACTTGTTCACAGCTGGAGAAAAAGATGATCATCTTGTGGTGTTTTTCAAACTGCAAGAAAAACAAGAAAATTGCACATGGCCATTTCCACAGGCCTCTCCTAATTCCCTGATCATCATAAGATCTAGGTGGCTTCCACTTCTGGAGATATGATCATCCGGGAAAGGATTATGGAGTTTGACACCAAATACTGAGCCCACAAAAGAAGTCCGAGTACACGCTGCACGGGTATCGCACTGCCAACGTGAAAGATGCAATAGCACCTCCGCTCTCTTGGGTCTCCCTGTACACTAGATGCACTTCAAAGCCCTAGATCTAATCCATGCTATCCTTGACAGAGTAACAGAAAAAGGAGTTGGAAAGGGCAAAGGGCTACTTAGTAATATAAATGCAAACAGAGTCTCACCTTGCATTTCTCAAGGATAAAAGCTGCTAACGTGACAAGCCTCAATTTGCTGGGGACCATCATGACATACTGCTTGAGCTTCTCCGGAACAGCAAAGTTTTCCTGCTCCATGCAGTTTGATGAACTACTGGCTTGACTATCCATTTGTGATGCTGGCTTGAGTGCCTTATGGATTTCATCTGCTATGGAAATGCTGATGGGATCATTCAAACTGATATCGGCCAGCCGCGTAACTCCTAAATCACAGAAAATTCAAAATACACAAGGTCCAGTCTGGGGTGCTGCTGGGGAAGGCGATGATATATTCCCATAAAAAACCCCAACTAACACAATTGCAGTGAAAAGCAGCAAAGGGCAAGGAACTAGTGAGCCATGCCTCAGACACTGACAGAACACCTCCACAAACTTCTGCCTTTTCAGGGCTTAGCCAGGCTTAGCTGTTGCGGACTCTACCAAAAGCATCACAAGACACTGCTTCCGCCAACTGAGCTATTTTACGTTACATAAATGTCTTGGCCAGACAGACAGCATTTGGCAGTTCTGTTTTTTTAACTGTGTGGGGTTAAAAAAACAATAGATTTCACTCTATCAAAAGTTCAGGAGTCATGAGGCCTGGTTCAATTCCTGCCTCAGCAATTGACTTTTTGTATGATACTGAGCAAATCACACAAAAGCTGTCCTGTCATTAGCTTTTTGCCTTAATTCTGTATTTGTAAAGCAAACAAACAAGCCAGTGCTTCCCAGGTTGACGGTGACTTTGCTCTGGAATTTGCGAGACATATGTAAGGACCTTGTAAGTATATACACTGACAGAAATTCCAGTAACAAAGGACAAGTTTTATAAGCCCAAAGAAATCAATAGGCATTATTCCGCTTCTGCAAAGGGCTTCAGACTGGGCTGTAATATAATCAGACTCGACCAACTATTGTGCAGTTGCCTGTGCATTATTCAGCTAAAAGAGACACCATCTGTCTATAACCTACCTTCCGTGAGGGTGGCTGAGAGCAGGACATTCTGACGTGTCTCTCTCTCGGCATTTAAAGCATTGAGTATCACAGCTACATCCTTCTCAAAGCCCAGGTCCAGGATCCTACAAAAACAGCAGAGGTGATGAAAGATGCTGCAGGAAGAAATGAGGAGAAAGCCTTAATGCTACACAAGCCAATTAGGAATAGAGGAAGTGCTAGAGCTGGTCAGATTTTTGGCCCATCTAGCTTCATGCTCCATCTTCAATTTTTGCCAGGGTCAGACATGACAGAAGACACTGAGAGAATCTCTGCAATGAATAATTGTACAATAATCTGTCCAAAGGGGAAACTTCTTCCTAATCCCAGACATCTGGTGCTTGGCTGAGGCCACTGAGCACGAATGGTTTAAGATTGTATGTGTGCTCTCTCATTTTTAAAAAATATTTAGTGAATTATGATGCAGAGAGTATCATAATTATTTTCCATATCTAAACAACTGGAAGTTTACCTGTCTGCTTCATCAATAATCAGCCACTGAGTGCGATGGAAATGAATACATTCGGTGGACTTGATGTGATCAACCAGGCGACCAGGAGTTGAAATGAGGATATTTATCCCTTTACGTAATCTGTTTAGGTTAAAAAAAAAAACCCATCACAAAAAAGAAAAATTAAGAAGAAAAAAAGAAAAGAAAGAAACAAAACCATACAGGTTAGCAGTAACTCTGGAATAGGAGCCCTGAGTGAGGAACCAGAACAAACAGAGGAAAAAATCATGGCCACAGTAAAATTAGCAGGGACAGTACTTTCTCATTGATTAAAACTGGAATTTCTTGCACAGCTAAATTTTATCCTTGATCATCATTGATACTCAGAGATAAGAACAGGGTGGCAATAAATATTAATAATATAAAAAAACCTACCAACACTAAAACACCCAAGCTAGGTTTTCTTTTCTAATTGAGTACTCTTTTTACTGTCAAGAGTAAACTTCTTTTTGTGTATGCTTATATAGAGAGAAATGAAAATTCCATTTTGGATTACCAGCTTACAATTTAATGCTTGAAAAGAGAAAAGGAGGAGATTTTTAACGCCAGGAAATCTTTTCTCCAGAAAGCAATTTCCCCCATAACAAATACTGTAGACTGCACTCAGTGGTAAGCAAATACAGGTGTTTGTCAGAAGAGAAAAAAAAAAAAAAAATACTGACACAAGTGATCATCATCTCCAAAGGCTCATCAACATTTTAGAAACAGATCCAACTGGGGGAAGTGAATACTACCTGCTGACTCAGTCACTGTCTCTGTGTAAGATCCAGGGGGATCACGGCTTGATCCAAACTCACAATCCTCTCTCCCAGTAAAAAAAGCACTCTAAAGAAGAGTAACAGATAAAAATGGTGTAGAGCAGAAGAACCCAAAACACAATTTAAGATGTTGGCTTCCTACCTGGCTTTTTCCGATTTTCTCTTTTCTCCCCCCATTAGCACTCCAGGCACAATCCAGGAAAATGGCTACAGAAAGGAAAACCAAGACCAATATAGATTCTTCTTAATAAAGAGACAGAGCCTAATCAAAAAATCATGTTTCTTGGCAAAAAGAGAAAGGACTAGGGGCTGACAGCAATGTGCACCTGATTTGATCTAACTGATACAGTCTACGTGCACTCTCTCACCCACAGCTACATATCAATGGCACCTTTAGTGCTAGCCATGTAACTTGCTTCCCACATCGTCTAGGAAGACAGAAATGCAATCATTTTTGCACCACTTCCAATCACATAATATTTTTTTTCCTTCTCCCCATGTAGCCTAAATGTTCAAAGACAAGCTACAATGCTATTTCTTCATCTTGCCTTCAAGCAATATCCTCCTGTGGCCAAGGAAAATTTAAGAAAAACACAGGACCTATAAAGTTTATATATATATGTAACACAGACCTCCATGCACACAGTCACCACGTCTGCAAACATTAAATGTCAGTCTCATTGATACTGGCAGGAGTTTTTGCCACTTACATGAATGAGGTCCAGTCCTTCATTGAATCCAATATTGCCCAATATTTACTGGGGAGATAATCAAAGCACAGTACTGCCATTGCCTCACTCGAGAGGAAACGCAGGACAGAAGCAGAGCACAGCTTGTAAGGATTGCACAAATGCGCGATTGGTAAGTAGGCTTAAGTTTGCACAGGTCACTGCCTGCCAGAAATGCTCCAACAAAACAGTTTCTACAAAAAGAGTTTCTTTTTCAAGTTTAAAAGAAGGAAGATGTCTAAGCAAGATCCAGGCAACACAACCTCCGCAGTTGGCGTGAGAGTACTTGCGTCAGGAGCAGCTCAGCTAGCCTTTTTCTTTCTCCGTAACTACATAATCATATTACACCCTCCAGTCATCCAGCCCTTCCAAGGTCCAGTCAGACCACGATCTAAATCTTCTGGTTTCGGTCACTAAGACAGTTTACACAGGACTTGATGGTTATTACACATAACAAAGGAAAATTAAAGGGGGTCAGTCCAGACTTTATCCTTTGAAGTACCTCAAAAGTCCACTCATAATAATGTCTAATTACTATGGAGAAAGACTGAAGTACTTTACACCTCAGCATTACACAACAAAATCTTACTCGGTAAATCCAGCACTGAAAAAGACTTGGAAAGCACCTTATTATTTAAGAGGGAGTGGGGAATAAGGATCAAATAAATGATTTAGATACCTTCTAGCCCCATGGTGAGATACTCTGCCTCAATTAAAAGGAAAGCACTATCATTTAATGATTTTAAAAGCCTTCTAATTTCTCCAGCCATTCGACTGGCAAAGCACTTCACCAAGTTCTACTCCCCATCTGAAACCCATCTGTCTAGTATTAGTTTCAGTAAAACGGTACTTGTCATTGTGAGAGTTTCCATTCATAACTCAGACTGAAACAATGGCAGGTACTTCTAAAACCAAAACGTTGTGAAAATCAACTACACTTGTTTATGAAAACATGTGCAACTAAGGTGCCATAATTAATCACTTAATTGCTCATGTAATAGTTTAAAACATGCCACAGGGAAATCACACACTTAAAGACAAACAGATTTATCTTTCGGGGCCATGTAACTTGCCAGATGCTGAATTTCCTTAAACATCCAGTTGAATTCACAGGAACTGAAGTTGCTTAGTATCTTACAGCAAGAGGCTCAAGGAATAAGAACAGAGCATTGAATTCCTACCTTAAGTAGTTTCTGCATTGTGTCAAAACTCTGGAGTGCAAGCTATGGAAATCAACAAAAGAAAGTGAGCTCTGAAAAAGTCCCCGGATTACAATGATGGACTACAAGCCCCTTTGGCTCAAAAATCTGTAAGCTGATCTAGTTATGTATATCATCAGAATTCTAAGTATGTCCTTAATTTTTCTTTTAGAAGCTGCTTATTATTTTATTCTCTTGCATAATCCTTCTTTTATTATATTTGGACCTGTTCAAAAACCTCTCTACTGGTTCAGCTCCACAAGCCAGCTCTCAGGACAACAGAGACTTCTGCTGGCTTCTGTGAATGCCCCAGGGAGAAAACAAGCTGAAGCCACAGAAGATTTTGCTCCACTGGAAGAGTAAAGGGTAAAATGGCACAATTTCTGGAAGAAAACCACTACAAAAAGGAAATGCAGCCCAGAGGTTAGTTACCTTCTGGCAGTCAGAGAAGATCACATTATTCCCTCACCTGACCCAGAGTGATCATACCACTGACCTTTTTCTCCGTTACACAGTTAGCAGAACAGAGGTGGTATGTACGAAGCCTGCAAACCTCAATGTCTGGTCAGTAGGAAGCATTTAGCTGTTGGGTTCCATGTGCTGTCTGACAGCCATTTCTGCTGTGGCAATGAAGACCGAGAAAGGCAATGGTGCCACCCTGACTCATGGAATGAGTATGTGAGCAAGGGTTCCTTAGGGGAGTAAAACTATTTTAAATGCTCTGGCTATACATGCTACATACTACTATTTGCCAAGACCTCAAGAAAGGCCATTGCTTTCAATACAAAGTAAAAGTAATACCAACACTAATTAGTCATTATTTTCATAAGCACTCTCAATGGCAGCTCTTTAAACAAGCTTACAAACAGTTTCCCTACCTGGTTTATTTTCATGCAGCATCCTAGAGAGGCAGTAAGTTTGCTGCTGTAAAAATTTAAATAGCTTTAGAGCTTTCTCCTTTCACGGAACTGAGCTGAGATATTGCACTGCAGGCTGCATAAAATATTGTGCCCCAAACTAGATACCTGCAATCAATTCTCCACATGGAAGTTATTATCATTTGACATACCAAAAAAAAAAAAAAAAAAAAAGGTTGATACCTTCCTCTGAAATTGCCTTTGCAATTGCAAATAATATAAATCAAATACAAGAGAGTTCAGTGGAGAAGCCAACTCTTGGAAGCCTCATCTTCAGCATTCACTTATAGATTTGAAAAAGGTGCTTTAAAAATGAAATGTTTGTATAAACCTACATATTTGCAAAGCTGATTTCATTAGTTTTACTTACTCCCCCATGTGAGCTAGGAAAGCTTCTCCTTCCCATACACTGAGCTAGAGCCTTTGTCCAGTCTTCACAATTATTTACAACTGCATGAGGAAAACTTTAGAGATTAAAAAGGCCAAGTACATCTCTTGTTGGGACTAATATGAGTGCATAAGGCCCATCACTGCGCTGCAAACAGAGAAGACAAGAGGTCCACTAAGAAGAATGTAGCACTGATAAACAGAGCACTTCTGTGTCTGACTGCTATTAGCCAACAAAGTGAATTCTGAAGGGTTTTAGTACAAGTTTGTACACAACAGTTTGGAGTATTTCCCCCCTCCCAGCTTTTAAAAAATATCAACAGTCTTTCAATACTGCATTGCCTTCTCTTTCCTGCTCGGAAACTCGCTCATGGTCATACCCAGCATTTTATTCCATACACGTATTATTTGAGTCTTTTATTTCTGAGTTGCAGAAATACTCTCATGTTTGATGCACAGCAACAATCTGTAGGTAGCAGCTGCAGAAAGTAACAATCCAGGATGGGCTGGAAACATTTCAACCCATAAGGAAAGTCAGGATGATCTCTTTCCATAAAACACACAAGAGATGGCAGATCTGCAACAGCATTTTCTGGTCAACCAGATGATCCAAACCGGGAGCAAATACCAAACCTCGCTCCATGTCAAAGATTAGAAACTTATTACTCCTAAAGATGTGGCAGTAACCTTTGTTTTCAGTTCTCCCGGCTAGCAGACCATTGCCTCTTCTGCACTCTACCTTCTCCATACTTGACTATTTAGCCTATTTACAATTTAGCCTACTGCATGAAGTAATGGGGAATGTGTAACACTCTTCTTATATCATCTGTATCTCAACAGTACAGAAGGATTCACATAAGCCACATGCACAAATAAAGGGGAAGAGAGACCGCTTGACCCTTTTATCAAGAAGAGACAGTGATGCCTACAAGGTAAGAGCTGGACTTTATTTTTATTAGTCTTAATATCAAAAGCAAACATTCTGTTGCACCTACCTGTATTTTGGATTCCATTCCTTGCAAAGACTGTACAAGTGGAATCCCATAGGCAAGAGTTTTACCTTTTAAAAGGGAGAAAATTGGAAGACTTTCCATCAAAAAAAGTGGCAATTGCAGCACTCCAGAAAATTAAAAGTACCATTCATCTTACCATTCTTAAACTGAGGTCACAGTCTTTTAAAAGACTGGAAAACTTTTAATTAAGCAGACAGTTTCCAGAACAGAAGATTGACAGGCAATTTACCAAAGGGTTAAATTAAAAACAGAAAGATGGTGGTATCCCACTAAGACCTTTCTAAACAAATATACCCACCCACCCAAGAAAATGAGACATCCAGACACAGTGTGCTGGAGAACAAGCACGTAATTTTGTACGGGAAGAACATGTGCTGCTTAGCTCTGCTGGCCTCCTGGATCTGCATCCCCAGCACGAGCCTTGGAATAGGCACACGTGCAATGGCTGGCAGCTGTACATCAACATTCAGTCCCACCACTGCGCTGTTACAGAAGTTTGCACAGCATCTGTCTGTGTCACGGCAGTCCCATGCCAGGCTTCCCAGCCTGTCACTTTTATGAGCTGTACTGGGAACGTGAGGTTTTGGTTCTGTATTTGGGATCCAGTTTAATACGTCCTAGGGAAGGACACTGACAAATAAATACTGACCTGAACCAGTCTGAGATCGCACTAGAGCATCTTTGCCTTGCAGGAGCACAGGAATTGTTTCCTTCTGAACACTGCACAGCAAACAAAACAGGTTAGGAAATACAAATGCAACATAGGATAGAATCCTAAAGTTCTAACATACAGTGACTGTTTCAGAACTGTTTACCCCAAATTCCATGCATTCATCTCTGCTGTGTAGCTACATCGGTAAAGGTGATTTCTAAGGAAAGTCACTAGATAGGCATCAGACGTGATAAATTGAAAAAAGATGGGTTTACGACTGAAGTACCAAATCAGAAGGCAGGATTCCCAAGGTCCCACCTTCAGCTGTGACAACTGACTTGCCGTGTAACTTACAAGCTCGTCCCAAATTTTGAAAGCAACAAACCCTATGGCAAATGGAACAGCTTAAGCTTAACAGGTACTGTGGTCTTCACAAACCAATTACACATAATGAAACAATCATAGATGTCTGGCTTTGAGGGGTAGTAAAGTGCAAAGTTTTTATGTGAATTTGCTTACCTGGTCATGCTACTTATCTTTAGGACAGTGTTTATCGTGGATATCTAGAGAGATAATAAAGAGCAGTAAACAGGTTTCATTGTCAAACTTACTTTTCTAATTTTTTGTAGTACGATAGAACAAAACCCAGAAGACTGATGCTTATTCTCTACATTACTGGCCCAGGGCAATGGGATGTAAAAGTTCCCATGTCCTCAAAACACTTCACAGTTAATCACGCTTAGACCATTGCTGATACATTGTGAAATATCAAACTTGTTAAAATACTGCACTCCCAAATAGTTTTCTGTGGGTTTTTGGATTTACCACTGCCAACAGTGAAGGGTGCTGGGACAGCGTGTTTGGGGATGGGTCAGGACACTGGCCAGCACGCTGAGCTAAGAGACTAGAACAAAATTGGGCAAAGTACTGGTGGGTGTCTCCAAGTCACCACAAATAAAGGTGCATCTCTCAGCTCTCTAACCTGCCCTCCACCCCAAAAAGCATTATTTCAAGGAACGCAGTCTTCCTGCCACTCACCAGATGTGGATGGAGGTCCAACTGGCTAAAAGAATCTGTAGTGAAAACATTTTCTTGCACCTGCTGTACTGCTTTTCTGAGTTAGGGGGAACAAAACAAAACAAAGCACGTGGTGTGGTTAAAAGTTGTACAATAGCATTCTACACAAACAGCAATGAAACTACACGTACCAAGCACCTGCTTTGCCCAAGCAAGGGCGAGAATTCAAGACATTGAATTTCAAGGCATTGAAAGTTTTTTTTCCCCCCTCCCATTTGTCTAAAATACCTGTGAATTTCTGGGATATCCGGGTTGTTTCTAAACAGGCTGGACGTCTTAATGAAAGGTTTGCTTTTCTGGCTTTCATTTTGGTTGTCAGTCAACTGCTTCTTAGGAAGAGATTTTTGTGACGGACTTCCCTTTTCCCTGATGTCAGCTTCCGTGGTACGTTTCTTGAAGGTGTTTATTGATGGCTTACGTTTACGTTTCAAAGGTGGGTTTCCATGTGGTGACTGGAGCTTTCTTTTCAGAGTGTTAGACTGCTTTGATGTTAACAAACAATCCAGATAGCAAGAATTCATTAATGACCAAGAATTAACAACATGGTATCACGCTGAACACAAACATCAGCCCACAGATAGATACCTTAGTTTTTAAATCCCTACCCCATGACTAAAGAAGCCATTTGATTTTTGCAGCTAGGCAGTTCCTACTCTGCAGATTCACCACCATGCCTAAGACCTCTGAACACTACTGAAATGCAAATAGAAATCTAAAGTCATATATAGTGCTCATCTCTAAAGGATTTCATCTAGCTTCTCCAGTAACTGAGCAGAACACGCTTTAAAAATCTCTCTCAAAAGCTCTGCAAATCTCATGATTACATTAAAGCCATCCCTGTAGGCTTCTTTCTGTGGGCAGAAGGGATGGCCTGTACTTCACTCCAACTTATGCTTCTGTCAACTTTAAGCATTTCCGAGTTCTTTATTTCTTCTGCAGCAATCACTTTATTTTATTGATCTTCCAATCACTTTAAGAAAGAACTTTTGCTCTCCCCATATCCCTCCAGGAACAGCAAAGAAAATTAAATTTAACTTCCTTTTGTCCCCAAAGCTCTTCAGTGTCCCCCAGCGCTTTTTCAATGAACTTATTTTTCCCGACACAATTGCAAAACTCCTGAAACGTGTGAAACGCCAGCGCAATCTTGCCATTCTTTTTCTCTCTCTTCCCTGCTTCTAGTTGCACACTCTGATTTTCTTTGTCCTCCTATGAACCATATTGTTTTCAACCTCTATTACTTTTTTCACTTGTTTGTTCACATCCTTGTTGTTGCCATCTGGCAATCAAAGCCCAACCTCTTTCCACCAACATTCACTATCAGAAAAATGAAGGTGGTGGTGCCCTACCTCAAAGTACCTGATATAATCAGGGTAAATCCTGGCAAACACTCTCGCATACTTTCGCACAGTATTTTCAGAACTTGCAATTTGAACGTGAGAATTTGAAAAAATTCAGAATAATAACTGAATCAACCCAGAACCACTGTAACAACAGCTTTAAAATTGAAAACGTCCATTTAACCCATTCTGGTTCTCCCTTCCTCAAACTTGTAAGAGTGAAGCCCCTATTCCTGCAGCTCATCGCATTCCCACAATTAGAAATTCACTCTAAAACACAAGGCGCCTTCCCCTCCCCAGCAGCATTTCAAAGCATCTCCCGGCGAGGCAGAGCCC